GACTGAAAGCCCATTAATAACCATAAGGGGTTTAGCAGGTCCTACTTTAAGGTAAGCTTGAGGCTCATGAAGGAACATTTTTCATGTTAATTAATTCTGTATGTAAAGTATCAACCAATATTAATCTCTTTTCACCAATACACTTCCTAAGTGTTTGGAAACAGATTTCTAATATACCTTTCACCTGTGGCGTGCTGATCTTTTCAATGATGTATTCTAAGAAAAATAGCAGAAAGGTAGACAGGAGGGTCTTCTGACGCAAATAAAGTTTCCCTAAGGAATCATGAAACATAAATTAAGTGACTGCACAAGTGGCCTTCTTTCAGTCAGGTGATAAATGTAGCTGGTTAGGGTGTTTTCTTCATAACCTGAACTAATGTCATGAATACTTCAATACAAGTCTGAGTCCGTTCTTTCACTTTATTTAGTCCATATTCTGAAGATATTTCAACAGATGCTGAATTGTGATCTGGACATATTGAATACTTAGCAGTCATGGGGGAATCTACCAAAATAGATCTCATTGACCCAATTTCATGGCCACGGCCAGCTGTGTTAATCTTTCTCCAAGGAATCTGATTTTCTCATGAAGTCATAAAAGCTGTGTGACAACTCCTAAGAAAAAGAGCTATGTTACTAGCCATTTGGGGCTTTCAACAGTTATGAGCAATGTAACAGACAAAATACAGATTATATATTTCTTTGATCTTATGTCTGCAGTGTCAGTCAGCAATATTAACTTAAATTTCTCGCTGTATCCAGATTTTGGAAACAACTATCAGTGCCATACATCCTATGATTTCTGCTGTTCTACTACTGCAGACGTTCTTGCAGGGTGCTAAATACAAAATGGAGTGTAGAAAGGCAAAATGTGGCATTCTGATCTTTTGTGTAAGTTTTGTCTTTTACAGAAACTACAAAGCATGGTTCCTGCTATCTTTCCTATGTCAGAGGAAGCAACTTATGCAATATTGAAAAGGAAGATAGAATATGCATAATTTGTACTAATTTATATACTGTAGAAGTACAGTATATACCACCATCATGTAGAGAACTGTGGCCTGTTAATCTGTACACCTGATTAATCTTCTATCCATGTGCTCACTTGTAAAGGGCACTTTCAAGGTTCTTAAACTCGCTTCTTATGGCATTTCATTTTTTAGTAAGTCATGAAATGGATAATCCTTCAAATAGAGGATGCATTCAGTAGAAAGCACTTGGTTATTCCATCATGCTATCCTTGCTTTTTCAGCAGAATAAATGTCTCAGCTGAAGTAAGAGTGCATCTCCAGTTGGTAATGCTGTAGCTGACCTCAATAATATGGAAATATGACTACTTTTGAATTTCAGCAAGAAACATTTTTTGAATGTGAAAGTAACTGAAATGGACAGATTCATCCATCTTTAATTTCAGGGATTCAAAAAATTTTGACACTAGTTCCAGTTCAGCTCCAACTGCAATTTCACATAGTTGGCCTTTGTGATTGTGTTCTGCGTTCATTACAGAAGTACACAGTTTTATCTAACTGATTTTATTCCAAGTTGATCAAGTTTTCTTATGGCATTAATAAAGAGATTATTGAGGCCATCCAAATATCAGAATATAAAGGGTCTCTCTATCTCTGGGCCTGACCCAGCCAACTAGGATAACTTAGAGTGATCAGGCAATTGCTGCCTTCAGTTGGCTTTTGCTGCCATCACTTTCTTTTCCTCTCCTCAATCAGAGTTATAGAAGCAAGGCCAAATGAAAAAAATTACTTCCCTGTTTGCAGTTTGAGGCAGTTTAAACCCACTCTCAGGTAGCCAGTCTGGAATGTCAAGGTCTCTGAGCTATGTTAGCAGATTACAACTTTACAAGACACTATCTTGCACCAAAACTATCTGTTAATAAGAACATGCAACAATAAAGAAAAACATGGATCAGTGTTAGGCTTAAAGAAAAGGATTAGGCAAGTATGAGCTAAGGGACAATGGGTAGGTCTACTTAAGATGTTAATTAGCTCTCGGAGAAAAATTAGCTCATGAGAACTTTGCTGCAATCCTGTCTGCAGCACATTCTTGTCAATGGTAAGTGCTGAAGTCACAAGATGGAAACCAGTGGTTCTCAGCCTAGAGGGGGCCATTATGTAAACACGTTTAAGCTGCTTTGAGACCACCATGCAAACCAACAAGTATCCATTAACTCAGAAAGGTGGGAGGAAGAAATTTACAGTTTAACACTGGAACATAAATATAAAAAGGCTTTGAATTCTTTGGTGTGCAGTGTGCAATCAATCAGCTGTTGGGCTGAGGGTTCATTTTGTCTACAGTAAAGATTCTAAACTAGCAGAGCCATATTTGGGAGTCTTCTGCCAAAACTAGCCAAGAGTTGAATTTAGGATTAAGCATATGTTATTTACTGCTAAGCCCACATGTGAAGTGTGATACCAGTTTCAGATGGTACCAATGGCTTTGGCATTTAGCTGATTTCTCTGTACATTTCACTTTCTTTAAATTGACAACTGCTGTTCAGTATCTTCCTGAGAAGATGCTCTCAATCTTTCTGATCATTCCTGCATTGATACACTAAGATGACTGCCTATTAACCTAGGTTGCCTAAATCTACACTAAGATCTTGATGATGGCCTGATTATTACATCATAGTTTTTTGTCATATTCTGGGGAATAAAATGTACAAGCTGCATTGCAGAAATCACCAGCTCAAACAACTGAGGATGATTTCATCTTTGATCCCCTCCCCTCTGCTTTTGTAAAGATCTGAAAAGTTGGGCAAGACAAGTACATGTGTACGCAAACATGCACGTGCGCGCACACACATGCATTACATACCTATTCAACATTGTAAATAAATGAGGTTGATCTTAAGTGGGATGAA